GGCTGGAAACACACAAATAAAAATCATGGAGAATCATAAAGTCTCCCAGCAGAAGACAAGGCTCACAGTCCTCATGTTTGCACTTTGCAAAAACTACCAAATTAATCCATAAGGCCGTAAGATGCAGGAGCAGAAGGTAGCCAGTCAGCCCATGGAGTCTGTTCTGCCAGTCAATGAGATCATGGCTGATCTGATAATCCTCTTTCCTCCATCACCCTTGATTCCCTTTACTGATCAAAAAATCGAATGTAAAATGTACAACTGCAGATGTTGGAGGTCTGAAACTCATAAAAACACAAATTGCTGGAGAAACTCAGCTGGCCATAGTCCATTTCAGGTCCAGTGAAGAACATTCATATCAGACTCGAGCCATATTTGGCACATAAGGACGGGTCCATACCATCTGCCATCCAATGGTCTGGCAGAAAGGGCAGTCCAAATGTCGAAGGCGGGCTTAAAGAAACAGCCTGCAGCTTCGCTCGATGCCAAACTGTCACGGTTCCTGTTTGATTATGGGACCACCCCTCATTCAAATACAGGGATAGCTCCAGCAGGAGGTGCTAATGGGGAGTTGGCTCCACACCAGGTTAAACCTGACATTCCCGGACATGGAGGTGGGGAGGTGAAATGGCATCAGGGATTGTTAATGTCGATCTCTCTCTGTACCTTCTCAGTAGCTGTAACACTGTATCCTGCACTCTGTTCTGCTACCCTGATGCACTTGTATAGTACAGTACGTACATAAGACAACACTTTCTACTGTATCTTGGTACATGTGACAGTATAAATCAAATCAAATCAATATCAGGAATGCCAAAGCAGGACATAAGACTCCGCTCAGTGAGAGAGACAGTTTATTTCAGGGGCCAAAGTTTGGTGAAGGAACCATGGGAATGGTCCTGCAGGGCTATGGTCCACCCCAGGTCAGGTGCAGTGACAAATCAGGTTCGGGTTGATGCGCCGATCCTGAACATGCGTGTGGACCATACAAAGGCTGCAAACACGGGGCAGGAGCAAAAACTTTACGACTGTTCTGGATCCGATGGGTTCTCCCTCTCCATCAAGCGTCGAAGATACCTCGGAATCTGAGATAGACACATCGGATGTTGGTTGCTGCCTCGATGCCTTTGCTGCCCGAAGAGGAGAATTAATTTCTTTTCGGGATGCTCTAGGAGCATGAGGCGAGCTGCTGTGTGTTACGCCACTCGTTTCAGAGGCAGACTCGGAGGAACCCAACCCGGTGCAAAACGGCCCGGGAAGCACCACATTAAAACCGCAACCAGCCCAATGTCCTCGGATTCAGCATCTCGGAAGGAATTCACTTTCCTCTCCAGGCTGCGAAGGTGTCGAGGCAATAACATCTGTCGTGTCTATCTCAGATTCCGAGGTATCGTCGACGATTGATGGAGACGGAGAATCCACAGGTTCCGGAGCAGTCGGAAAGACTGTCAGGGAGCCCAGCATGTTTTGCTCCCGCTCCGTTCACGAGCTCCCAGCTTTTGGAGTCTGCATATTACAAAAGATGCTCGCAGTTTTTCCATCATCGTTCCCATGTCTGACAGATGGACTCTATGCACAGCCAGCTACTTTGAGTGGGCGCCTACAATGGCTAAGAACATTGAGCTCATGAAAGGACCTGCACAGCCGACAGGTCTAGGATTTACCTGGCCATTCCCATGGATGTGGGGGAACTGCTGGCACTAGTTTTTGTCCCTGTTGGCACTCTGGGCACTCCCCCACCCACGTGGCTATGTCTGCATCCAGTCCTGGCCACCAGGCATAACTTTTCACCAATATCTTCAGTTTGGAAACCCCCTGGATGACCCTAGTGGAGTTCAGCCAGTATCTGCTGGCAACCTTTACTCAGGACAATCTCTCTCGCTGGTCATAATGATACGCCATTGTCTACTGTGATCTGGTCTCTCCAGGTCCAAAGAAAAGTTTCAGTTCTGGTTTTGATGGCCCTTTGGTCTCCCCCATCTCCACCAGTTGTTTTGGTTTTGTCAGGACCAGATCTTCCTGCGTCCCAAATCTGATATTGTCCACTGTGACTGGAAGTGTGCCCAGAAAAAGTAAAACCACTACGGACCCTTTCAGTGGCGGTACCACCGATGGTGTATCTGCCAGCGGGAGGTGGCTCAGTGCATCTACATTTGCTACTTGGCCTCCTGGACAGTGTTCCAACTTGTAATTATACGCACTTAGAATAAGAACCCACCGTTGAATTCGGCCTGAAACTATGGACAACACTGCCTTGTCCTTTAAGTAGACCTAGCAGGGGTTTGTGGTCCATTACTATTACAAATTTACATCCATAAAGGTATTGGTGGAACTTCCTGATTCCAAATATGACCGCCAAACCTTCCTTCTCTATCTGGGTGTTTCTACGCTCTGCATTAGCCAAAGTACTGGATGCATTAGCTAGTGATCGTGCCTCTCCATTGGGCCAGCTATGAGCTAATACTACCCCGATGGCATACAGGGGGGCATCACATGTCATAGAACATAGAACATAGAACATGACAACTGACATTGTCAATCCCAAATCTCACCTGGCACCATAGTGTGCCAACACCTTAGAGGACGATAGCTGTTTCTTCACTTCCCTGAAAGCTGTGGCTTGGCTACGCAACCATTTCTAAGGCTGAACATTTGTTAAGAGTTGATGCCAGGATGTAGACCAGGTTATATGTGAATTTTCTGTAATAATTCACCAGCCCAAGGAAAGACCTAAGCTCTAGTGCAGATGTGGGAGCTGGGTAACCTTTGATTGCCCTCACTTTATCTTCCAAAGGGTGTAACTCTGTAGTCCAAATAGGTCACCTGGGGTGCCAGGAAGACACATTTTTTCCTTTCTAAGGCGTACGCCTGCCTGGGAGAAATGTCTAAGCACTATGCCCAAGTTCTCTAAGTGCTCTTTATTGATTTTCCCTCCTATTAGCATGTCATCTAGATAAATGGTGACCTGGGGTAGACCTTGTAACATGTTCTCCATGGGCGGCTGGAAAAGAGCGCAGGCTGATGATATCCCAAATAGCAATCTTGTATATTGGTATAAACCCTTATGGGTATGAAGCTGCGAAAAGCAGTTTACCGTTTGCTTAAAATCCCCACAAAGGCAAGCTGAGCCATCAGACTTCACAATCAGTACGACCAGTACCGCCCATTCTGCAAAATGCACTGGTTTGATGATTCCTTCACTCTCCAGCCTCCTGATTTCAGCCTCTACTTTTGCCCACAAGGCATATGGCACTGGGTGGGCCTTGCAAAATCATGAAATTGCTTCCTCATCAGCATGCAAGGTGGCCTTGGCCCCTTTGACAGTCTCTCGACCTTCCTGAAAAACCTCCGGATATTTAATTAGGGCTCCACTCAGGCAGCCATTTTCTAATCGAAAAATGTTGAGTCAATCAAGGTGAATCTTTCGCAGCAGTTGTTGTGCCTGTTTGAAGTTGGGCTTCAGCTAGTAGGTGCTTTTGCATGGTTATATCATTAATCCCACATACCAAACATCTCATTAAGTGTTAAAGCAAGGTCACAAGCCACTGGCAGTTATATTAACCTAGTCAAAAATCCCAATACTGATTCCCATGAATCTCAAATTGCCGAGTAAAACCGATTGCATCTCAGAATTAGAGGATGCTTGGGATCGCAATACTCCTTAACTAAATCTGTCAACTCTTGAAAGGTATTCGTATCTGGTGCAAAAACAAAGTTGCTGGAAAAGCTCAGCAGGTCAAGGAAAAAACAGATCTAACCCAAAACGTTAACTGTTTTTTCCTTCACAGATGCTGCCTGACCTGCTGAGCTTTTCCAGCAACTTTGTTTTTGTTCCTGATTTACAACATCTGCAGTTCTGTCGGTTTTTATTAGTATCTGGTGCCTCAGGGAAAGTTAGACTCCTAATAACCGAGAAAGCTACAGGTCCACGAGCTGTCAGGAGAATTACTTGTTGCTTTTCATCTGTCCCAATGTCATTTGCCTGGAAAACATAATACATTCTTTCCACACACCTGGCCCTGACTTTGATGGCAGGATTGAATGAGGCAAGCTTCCCAAATAATCGTACGATGCCAGAAATTCTTACCCCAATGCAAAGGTGGCTGTTGCAAGTGAATTTCTTTGGAAGCGTGCTTTTCTCTCATTGCCACTAGGATGCTCTTCGGAGGGTCAGTGTGGACTCAATGGGCCGAATGGCCTGCTTCCACAATTCTATGATTCCACAGTTGCTGCCGGATCTGCCGTGTTTTTCCAGCAATTTCAGATTTTGTTTCTGATTTCCAGCCTTTGCAGGTTTTTTTTTCAGTTAACGTGATGAGTTTGGTAAGATACGGCAATGACCTTGCTACACCTCGCAAAACGTGCTGAAGCTGACCTAGCCTAAATCAGGCAACTGTCTTTAAATCGTGTCACGCCCCGCTGTGGGTACGCATGCGTATTGTTGTTGGCTGTTCATCTTGGGTAATATAGACAACACAGCGTGGAGCTGGAGGAACACAGCAGGTCAGGCAGTATCAGAGGAGCAGGAAAGTCGACATTTCAATTTGGGACTGTCCGGGTGATATTCCTTCTCTGCGGAGACTGGCTCACACGAGCACTGGTTGCAACTTACTTGTTCTTGTTCCATTTCCATTGCAAGGGGTGGGGGTGCTGAAGTGGCGAGGGAGGGTACTGTGGACCTCTTGTGTGACCATGGAAGTGGGGGTGGTGGGGAGGGGGGGGGTGTGGGGGGAAGTGGGAGTTGGGGGCTTGGGATCAAAATGACTTCATTCCTAGGGGACGCTCAGCTTTGAGACTCATGGTGGGGGTGAACTCTGTGCCTTGGAGGAACGACTTTGGGGTCCCTTGCTACCCACCTACCTACACCCACACTCCAGTTCCGTCCCTGCTCACCCCACCAACCCCCTCACAGCTGACCCCTACTGGGGGCAGACTGGAACTGCTCCCCACCCCTCCCACCCCAAACTCCTCCATGTCTGTTTACTGGGTCACGTGGGGTGGTTGTGCACGTGTAATTGACACAAGGGCTGATGGAGAAGAGGTGGCGGGTTTCGGAGCTTGGGTAGGGATCCCTCCGGTGGGCAATGCAGCCTCGGGTTAATGCAATTCATTAAATGCAGCGACGGGGAGGTGGCGGTCGATTGCAATTCGCCGAGGAGAGTGTTTCTGAGGAGAGAGAGAGAGAAGCGGCGGCGGCGGCGGGAGGCAGAGACGGTGGGTGGGTACAGTATTGTCCGGGTCGGTGAGGATGAGATGCCCGTGAGCCGGTGCTGGGTTCCGCGAAGCCATGGCTCCGGGACCTGAGCTGAGATGGCAGAGCCGCCGCTGCCGCCGCCGCCGCCGCCCCCCGAGTGCCTGACGGCGCCGTTCAGCCGGAGGCTCTCGGCTCTGAGCTCTGCCCCGTGCCCGGGCGAGCCGCCAGCCTCGGCCGCTCTGCCCATGGGGCTGCAGGGCTTCAGCAACCAGCCCGCGGCGGCTGGCGGGGCCCTAGCGGGCGGAGACAATGTATCCTTTCAGATGGCTACAGTATCCCCGGGCACCCAGATGGCTACAGTATCCGCGGGCACCCAGATGGCTACA